TGTGGGGTTTTGTTTCCATATGAGTAAAAACAACAACAACAACTACTACAATGTTGAGCGACAACAAACAGCAGCAATGCCACCGCCGACACAGCGACTTGTCAGTTTTAATTGAAATCAATTGAGCTCAATTATTTGATACTCACACGCACACACACACACACATGCATATGTACACAAATAACTATGTATGCGGCATGGTTTACCATTTCAATATGAGCGCGTAGAATGCTAAAGCAGGGAAGGCCCGACTCTTGTATACCTTGTGTCTGGCCCCTCTTCTAAATCACTCTTTTGCTCTAAACGTTTCTATATATGCATGGAGATTATAGAAATAGCTGCATTTGATGCTGTGCACCGATTTATTATGAGAAGGTTATTAATACCAACTTTATTTACAATATGTTATCGTACAAATAAGTTTTTGGTGCTGAGATCTCACTTTGCCTTGACTGTTCCTACGACAACCGAATGATATAGTGCCCCGATTTTAATTAATCTTCAGTAGATGGTTAGTTGTTATCAAAAACGTATATATACTAAATTCTGTTACGTTATCGTAAATGACAAAAAAAGCTCTTGTTTATAAGAGTAACAATAGCACCGATCGTTCATATGGCAGCTATATAAAATAGGGACGCTATGTGTGATCTGCAATAAACTTGATCTGCACAAGTTGAAGACACGTCCATATGCCAAACTTGGCGTGCTTAGCTGCTTTGGTTTAAAAGCTCTGGATGTTCATACAGACGAACATATGAGTGGAGAAACGTACACGCCTTTTTCTGCCGCTTAAATACATTGAGACTACTTTATATGCCCTTTCAGTGCAGTGTATAAAGAAAGGCAAAGGCGCGCGCGTTTCCAGCTCATGTACGCATCTGATTGTGGGCGTGGTCAGCGTATATGGAGCGGTCATTGAATTAAAAAGAATTTGCATCAAAATCGAAATACCTGCGACGAAAACAAACAAAAAACAAGTCGAAATCAGCGCAAGCAGCTGCACAGGTGTAAATACAACAAACACAAACACGGCTAAAAAGCAAGCACACATCTTTGTCGTTGTTTGTGTTCGCTTTTTGATATTCACTCTGCAGTTGTTTCGAGTATGCGCTAAAATGCGATAAAAAGAGCCAAGCAAAAAACACAACAGATGTTGAAGTGGCAGAGTGGCGGCCATCAGGCAGTCGGCCCAGTCAGTTGGACTAATGGCCAATGGCCAGTTGTATGCTTTCGGCCACATGCGCGCAAGGGTTATGCGATGTTGTTATACGATGCTTGACGAGTTGTGCCTCCCCCTTGCCAACACCCTGCCCTCCACCTCCACCACTAACTGTCTTGTCCAAATGTGAATACATTATATATGTATGTATGTGTATGTAGGTATGTATATATGTGAGTACGAGTATGTGCAGCCAGCGGATGTTTAACTTGAGTGCGCAGCTACCGAGGCGCATCGAAATTAATCGAACTCTATGTGCACCGTCATACTATATATGTATGCAGTTGTTGTTGTTGTTGTCTGTGTGTGAGTGTGTTGGTGGTGTAGACTAAGTTTTCTAAAACAGTCTAACATCGCTAAAATCAATTTGTCAATTCTGCCACAACATCAAGTGCAGAGAGCTTTAATTTTGAACTTAATTCCACTTACCACTTTTGAATGCAATCGGATCTACAGAGATTGGTTTCAAAAACTGAAGAACCTACTGAGATCATTAAAATATATCCCAAATGCAATTCATTTCGCAGCCGAGTTGAAAAAAGATGATCATATCAAAGAGATCTCTCTATTAAGTATCAATTATGTAGAAATTTAATTAATCTCTTCATAACTATCAGATATATGTAGATATATATTATTGAAATAACTATTTTACGAATCAAATTTATGATCCTGGGAAGAATATTTTGTTGTCGGAGTTAGAATGTTCTACAAATGCGATATTTGGATGGCCGTTGGAAAGGTTTTTGGGGAGCCCAGTTTAATGAGTATACACCAAATAAAATCAATCGTAATAATAACAGCATTTGAAAACTATAGATATTTAATAAATAACAATTAATAGAACTTCTTCAACATTTCTATTTTTCAGAAAGTGAACGTTACAGTGAATGCCAGATTAGAAAATAAATTGCGGATTATTTTTATATTTTAATTTTCCCATGGATGCTGCGCCAAAAAAACTTATTAACAAATGAACTTTGCTAAGGACTCTGCTTTAATTTACGCTAGCGGGGCTCCACTGTAGCTGGTTGGCTGGCAACTTGACACGTTTCTGCAACAGCAAGCGCACTCAACTTTGGGGCTGGCATTGTGCTATGAAATGTGCCATAATCGTGCGGCGACTGCGCAACAAAAAACAACCAACGAAATACGAAATGAAATACAAAAAAAAGCGAAGAAGAAATAATAACTTGCGTTGAACTTTTTTCAAAATTACAACAGACGTGAGGCACATAACAATAATAGCAATAAAAAATAATAATAATAATGAGAAAGCTGTTTGTGCCTCACAAAAAAATTGCCAAAAATAAATGGCCGTGCATTGCGCATAGAAGAAACGAAAAACAAAATAAAAAGCGAAGAAAAAAGTAAACGTAGCGACGAAAAATGAAAGGCAGGAGTTGCTGGGAAAGTAACGAGGTCCAGTAGTCCGTTGTCCAGTCCAGTTCAATGTCAACGGCTCGGACATGGACAGTACAGTTTTTTCTTTACACAATTTTATTTTTTACTGCCACTTCCGCTGTGGTCGTGGTCGGGTCGGCCGAAAAGCCCGGCCACACCTAAGCATTAAAGAAAGAAGAAATATTTTTGCGTTGACAACAACAAGAGAGAGAGAATGTTACAGACGAGCAAGTCCGACTGCGAAATACCTTGTAAGTAGAGATTTGGTTTATGTAGCTTTGGAATTGTGATCAGAAGAGCGAAGCATCTACTATAATTTTGGAAATGCGTGGTGCTGTGATTAACCTTTTTTTATTACGAAGTTTGTAATAGAGGTGAAGAATTAGTTTATATGGCTCTGGAATTATGGACAGTATTGTGCATTCTTCTAAAGCATTATAGTCACAGATAATAAGCAGAGCAGACCTTTTGAGGTCATGCTTAAGAATGCATATAATTGTTATATTTTACTAGATTTTCTAGCATTCCAGAATATCTTAAACTTGGACGTGCCAAAGATAACTTCTTCATCGTTTTGACCAAGTTTACTTTTGTAACCATATTTCTAAGTTTTATAAGCAATTTCGAAATCTATTGTTTGCAAACATTTCCGAAATAATATGAGACAGAAGAACTCTTAAAATTTTATTATTAATTAATTTTACAATATACTTTTGAAACACATAATTGAGTACTCATGAAAAAGTTGTTTTTTGTCTTTCTTGGACTTGCTCCTATCCTATCTATCTCCATTTGGGACTTGCCTTGTTATATATTTAAAATTCTTCAGCTTTACAAGTATTTTCACATTTTAAAATTAAAAAATTTCAATAAAATTTCGATGCCTATGAAAAAGGACTCTACATATCAAAGTTTGGGTAGCCGTTTCACAAATCGCCTGGATTTCATACAGACAGACGGAAGAGTGTGACCAATTTGTACCCGGCCGCTGATCAAGAATACATATACTGGTGTAGGAAAAAGGGATTCTACATATCAAGGTTTAGTCAGGTTTCAATTGTAGCCATTTCCCACAATGCCAATTTGTTTCGTCCGGCTGATCAAGAATAAATATACTTCATGGGGCCGGAAGTGCTTCTTGCTGCCTAAGTATTACATACATTTGCACAAACCTGATATATCCTGTTTTACCCTTCGAGTACCGAGTACACAAAAATACAGGACCGTAAAGGCGGGCAAGCTTGTCACACAGACACACACACACACACACATTCACAAACATACCTATGTTTGTACATATACTGAGGCGTCAAATGGGGTGGAATGTGTTAAAACAGATAGATAGACAGACAGGCATGGACATGGACTTTGGGCATATGGTGGAGTTCTTGTCGTTGTAGTTGTGTGTGTCTCAGGTGTGCCAGTGTGTTTGTGGCGGTTAAAAAACAGGCACAGCAGGGTGACAGGACCTCAAATGCAACAACAACTACAACAACGATAACAACTTTTTACAATTCTAGTTTTTCTTTTCCATACCAACTATTGCGACAGCGAGACGCTGGCATTAATGTTAGCTCCATGCGTTGGCGTCGTATTGCTGCGCGGATGACGGCGTTCGAGTGTGAAAAGTAGTAGAAGAAGAAGAAGGCAAAGTCGCAGCAACTGAGGCGGCTGAGAGAAGGCCGTTTTATTGACCCCCAAATAGGGCGTTATTGTAATTTTTGCAGTTATTTGGCACAAAAACGTTTGCGCGCGTCTTGAATAAATATTATGAGAGAGTAGTGGAGAATATAACTGAAATATATACACACACAGATATTAGGCAACAATAACACATTAAAACAACAGCGACGTCGGCGGCGGCGAATAAAACGGTTTTGAATGCTGAGCTACGCTTTTGTTTATGTAAATGTTCGCATGTTTTATGTATATATGCACGTATGTATGTATGTATGTATGTTTGTATATACATACATATGTATGTATTTATGCACACGCGGCGGCTGCAAAGACAATGAACATGAAAAGAGCGATGCGAAGACAGGCGGCGGCTGGGCAGCCTATTATTTATTATGCCTTCTTAGCACTGCTTGTTGGCGCTGCTGCTGCCTTTTTCCACCGCTGCCGCTGCCGCTGTCAACGTTTCTGTTGCTATTGCTGCTGCTGTTGTAGAGCGCACAATACACTGACACACATTTTTAAATAGAGAAGAGATACTTTTTTCTGCCGCTGCGCTGCTCAGCTAGCTTTTCAGCATATCTTTTCTTTGCTTTGTACGCACACAGAAACATACACGGACACACGAACACACCAACACACTAACATCAGCTTGGCGTGCGCTAGTGGGCTGGAAAAAATGCCAATTTTTACACACCTTAAATGCACTTTAAACACTTGTTTTCGCGACGCGTCAATTGCAATCGTAGTTACAACATTCCGAGCAGTTTCATTTGCACTAACAAATTAGCTGGTTTTGGTAAAACAACAACAAAAACTACAGACGCACCACACACGGCAAATAACGACGTCTAACCCAATCAACAGCACAACGAGAACTCAAGCAACATACGACGAAGTGATGCCATGTGCATTTTCCATCAAGTTGGCAGTTTAACTAAAAGTGCTGCCCAATGTTAGCTTAGCTATGCATTTTTCGCACAAAGGCGGGGCAGCATTGTAGAAATAGGCCACAATAATTGAAAAAAAAACGGTTTTTCATTATTTGGCAGTAAATGTGTAAAAACTAAAGCTGAATACTGTAATCAAGTTTAAGCTCATTACAATCTCTAACGTGCGAGGTTCCAGAATAAATAAAGTACATATTTTTATAATAAACTCTTGAAAACGATAAACAAAATGTATACACATGTCCCTTTTTTTTAATAAGAACAAATATTCTGAAACCACATCTTAAGTCAACATGCAGTCAACAAGCAGTCAGCATTTTAGCTCGGTAAAGATAACTATAATGACTAATGGGTAGAATTCTTGCAATTTAATATTATTAAGTATTATGGTTATCAATAGTTGCTCGACTGCAGCGTTCTCTCTTGTTCTATAATTTAAAGAATAATAATTAATTTACATATTGAGTTCCGAAAAAACGAATCCATTTTTTTACACTATTTTCAAATTCTCTCAAAGAGGTTTACGTTGTCCGGTTTAGGTCATATTCAGTCTTATTTCAGTTTTCATAATACATAGCTTTATAATTCCTCTGACATAAAAGCTGTCACTGATTCATGCTTGGACTTGTTCAAAACTTCAAATTCGCCTTTAAAACAATCCTCAGTGAATTCCTGATTGGTTGTTTATAATATAAAAGTTTGTTAAATTTTACAATTCCATTTTTTTATTAAGGCGAAACTGCCTAAATTTGAAGAATGCTTTTGGACTCGATACTATCTCTGGAAATTATGTACGTATTTGGTTTCTGACTTGATTCCATTCCGGATATTGGCTGAGGTAGATGGGCCGTCGAAAATTGTAATGAAATCGTAGGAATTTATAAAGAAAATGCTTAATATCAGCAACAAAACAATAGCAATATAAAAGAAATACGTTTAATAATGTATTTTAAAGCTGTTTATCATAATGTAATCCAATCACATTTTAATTCAAATGGAGCGCATGTTTTAGTATTACTTTCCAAATAAAAAAATAAAATAAACTCGTATTGCCTGGGCTCAACCGTGTCGGGAATCTAGCCAGACAGACAGACGTACATGACTCTATCGATTCATCTTGTCATGCTGATTAAGAATACATACTCATATACTTTATGGGGTCGGAGATGTTTTCATCTGCCTGTTACATACTTTGCACAAAAAAATATATTATATACATATAATGCGTTTTGTATAAACAATTTTTTTGAAATTATTTAAGAAGCAAATTCATAGCCTAATGGCCGGTTTTGATTTATTGTAGAATAAAATTGTTGGTTGACTATAACGATGGAGGCTCTCGGTTCAGAACAAGCCTGTATTTATATATATTTCATTGGCAATATTCGATTAGTGGGCCATAAGCTTAATCTAGTTACTAAAATGTTATAAGTATATGTATGCGAAGCACGAAAAAGGCCATTTCTAAAATGCCTATAAAATGTTTCGCATTAACATATTTGTATGCTCATCATAGGCATTGGTATTTTGCTCAATTGCTGTGCTCGCTGGCACTTTCAAAGTTGGCATCATCATCATCAGAGTCGGAGCAGTGCTCAAGACCCTCGGCCTCGCGCAGCAGACGACGCTTGTAACGCTCGTAGGCGCTGCCCTGATTATCCACATTGCAGAAGTCGATATCGTCCACAAAGCCAGCGGCATCAGTATCAATGGTGTGCACATATGGATCCTGGAATGTGTTATAGTCTTCGTCCTCGCTGGAGGCTAGAAACTCATCATCATCCTGCTTGTCCTCTTCGTCCTCATCTATGAACGATTGATTATATAAGTGATTATTGTGAAGCTATTAGTATTTAGTAGAGTAGTACCGAGCACGAATTTATGCATTTGTTCGCACAAATCACCGAAATTAGAGTCCGCCTGCTCAAACTCGTCATCATCGGGATAGTCGTTGGTGTAGTAGTTCTCCTGATTCGAGTCCTCCGAATCAAATTCCTCGTCATCGTCGTTGTAGCTGTCTTCAAAAATGACTTCACCCGCGCGAAATATGCTGCAAGGATTGAAAAGTTCAATGAAAATGCAGGCAACGGTTTTATATAAACATGTTTTGTTCTTTATTGAAGGAGGCTTACTATTATAATTATTATTACTATTATGTATATGTATTGTTTTGTTCATGCTAAGCGCTAAACCCTATTAACTACAAGAGAGTACTTAAATATTTTTAGCACAACTGTGGAACGCTTTGGAAAACAGAAGGAAAGCAACTGGCAAGAGGGTTAAAGAGCAGCAACAACAATTTACAAGGCGAACAAATTATAAATTAAATAAAAAGAAACGCACTTAGTCCACATACATACATATAGGATATAGTATATATGTGTTTGTATGTATGTAAATGATAATGTGATGCGTAAGAAGCGCGCAAACTAAAAACTAATTAAGTCAACATTTCGTTTCTTTTGATTTGCTTTTCAATTTCTTTTACTGGAGGAACTGTCTATCTGTCTGTTGGGGTGTATATGTGTGTGTTAGGTGCTTGCTGTTGTTGCTGCTGTTGTTGGCCCGCTGTGTCACACATGTGTTAGCCTGGCTGTCGCAGTTGCTGCTGCTGTTGTTGTTGTTCTCGTGTGTTACCAATAGCAGTTGTTGTAGTAATTAAACGGATAATACAACCTTATAGAGAATCAGACATACAAATTATTCTTCTTTTTTTTGTTTTGCGAAAATTATCTAAATTTAAATGCAATGAGCACATTACGCGCAACATATTAATACATATATGTACACATAGGATGAGAGAACTTAGGAATACAAAAACACACATAGCGCACCCAAAAAAAAGGGGGGAAAAGAATGATTTTAATCAAACCCAAATCTCCACTGCCTGACATAACCACTCGCACTCCCGATCTCTACATATAGAGGTGTCTGACTGTGAACATTTGCTGTTCTTCTATGTGTATGACGAACCTTAAATAGTTGTCGTCCATCATGTCTACAACTGCCGCCTGCTGCTCATTCTCCGGCACATACAGATCGTAGACGTAGCCAATGTCCGAATCGGCGGGCAGTTGTGAGTTCTGTGCATCTGTTGTGGGCGTCTCTTGCGATTCTATGTCCACTATGGTGATTTGGCTGTTAGTGTTGCTGGCGCTGGCAACAGTTGTGGCAGAATTTGCCTTCTGCTCTCCACTGCCGTCCGTTTCGTTTGCATTCTGATCATCTAAGGTGGTGCGCAGACAGTTAACGACACGGAAACGCTGTTCGCGTGCTGCCTGCTGTGTCTGCTGACGCAGCTTTTCGCGCCTATTGACGCCACCGTCGCCAACTCCGCTCTTCTGCTGCACAAGTTCCTTGGCGCTTGCCTTATTGAGGCGTGCAGCTGCAAACTGTTTGGTAGCGCAATCATCCTGCAATCAATATTCATTAGCATCAGCATATTATGATCATTATCTGCAACCCACCTGATTTTCCAAAGTGCCGGCGAACCTAAACGTGCTCAATAGTTCTTTTTCTTTGTCTGGCGTCGATTCGCTTTCATCTTCTTGCAAGCGTCGTCTTTTTCCATTCAGCACAAACGCTGTGTGTGGTTCCTCATCAATGCGTCGCTTGATGCGCACCACGGCAGGCATGTTTAGTTAACTATTTTGTCGAAATTTAATAAAAATTTAATCGTGCGACGCCACAGCTATATTAGACTCGTTGTATTCACAATAGTTTATAGAGATGCGCAATTATCGGTGGCACTATCGATAGAAGCGATGATTATCGGCTGCCATTTCGTGCTATCAGTGCTGCCAGCTTGTGTTATTTTTTAAATGTCTACTGCGAGATAAGTTAATGTATAGCTGGTTGGAGCTAGCGTTAGTATATGTAAAGCAGTTTATTTATCCATATTTATGCATTTATTATTTTAATTTAATTTCCCTTATACAAGACAATAGGGCCAAAATGAGTAAAACAAATACCCATTGAGCTAAAGCAATTCAAAATTAGATAAGATAGCTGCCAATTACGAACATTTGTGCAGCTGATTTTGATTTGTAATACAATAAATCAATGAAACTTTGTTTACGGAACTTATTTAATAACTTAAAGTGCACAAGAAGGCTGTAAAGTTAAAACTTCAATATACGGATGTTAATTTTTAATTAAATGGAATGAAATAAAATGGCCATATTATTTCTTCAAAAAAACCTAATTTCAATTAGCTTTGGAACTTTTTGTTAATTTTAACCCGTGTTATTGTGCACTGAAGAAATTTATGAATAATCACAATTAGTTTTAAAATGTATTGAATAGCTTGAATAGCAGTTGCAGGTAACCAATTCACAATTTAAACGAATAACAGATTTCGGTGCTTGCAGTGCTACCCAGCTCTCATTGTGTTCGATCACTAGCTCGATAGATCGTTATCGCTGAAACGGCTAATGCATGTATGTGTGTGCTTTAGAGCTGGGGAAACATCGATGTTTGCCAACATCGATGTTTCGATTTTTTTGGAGGAAGAACATCGATGTATCGATGCATCGAAATTCCACTAACAAATTTTCAAAAAAAATTAATATACATCATAGGGCACTTCGTTTTGATTTGTCTGTTTATAAAGGAAAAAAAGGGTTTAAAACAAACGATATTTTTATAACTTCAAATAATAAACTAAAAACAAGAGAAAGTATAACATAAAAAATTATAGTTAATGACTAATTTCAGATAAAACAACAAAACAATATTTTCATAAATTGAAAGAATATAAGTATAACAAAATGAAAAGCATAACATAAAAAATATAATTCATGACTAATTATTTGAGATCCACTCATTTTTGTTAATAAAAATGAGCATGTCTACATTCTTTGATTTAAGCGAACTCCTTTTTTCGCTAACTATAAGTCCAGCTTTGCTGAACATGCGCTCACTTTCAGTGGACGTTGCAGGAACGCAGAGGTACTTGCATATACATGCCTTAAGGGACTTATCATTTGAGATCTGTAAATAAAATGCTTCGTATTTTTTGTCTATAAACGACAAAATAGAGCTTGAGGTCGTTGGTAGTTCTTCAATTGTCAACGTAGGATGCATTCGTTTAAAATGTGCAGATAAATTGGTGGTATTGCCACATGTTTGATACACTTTACCACATTTAAAGCATTTAGCAGACTTGCCATCCTTAGACTTATTGAAGAAATTCCACACAGTTGACTTTCCATATTTTACACGTTTATTAGGACCACCTTCCTCAGGTTCCTTATCCATTTCGGTTGAGTTTGCATTACAATCTAAGTACATAGAACAACATATTAATATATGTACAAATAATGAAAATACACATACACAAATAAGACTGCAGCTGCAAGATAAAAATTACCTTTGCTATTAGATTCTTTTAAAAACTTCTCCATTTCCAAGCACTGCCAACACCAATATCCATCTATAATATTAGTAATTTGTTCTGTATTATATTAGGGGTTTTATTAAAAAATGCAAATTTTAGCTTTTACTTACCTAGCTTTTCCCGCGTTTTTTTTACAAGTAGTAAAAAACATCGAAAATCGGAAATAAAACATCGATGTTTGGAAAAAATTGCAAAACATCGATGTATCGATTTTACATCGATGTTTCGCACAGCACTAGTGTGCTTGTGTGGTAAAATTAAATCGCACAGATAGGCTCTAGTTGGCGCGCGTTTCCAATAAAGAATGTAAATATGTCGCTCCCGTTGTTGGACGAGGAGGAACTCGAGGCATTAGTATACGAACGCTCAAAAATCTGGTCGAGTCTTCTGAAGGTAAGACAAGAAGTTAACAAATGTCTGAATGTACAGTTAATCGCATACACACACATACAATTAGTGCTTCGAGGAGCAAGACGATGAGGAAATAATAGAGATGCACAATATTGAAAAACTATTCGAAAGCGATGTTGAAGATAACGACGAGAGCGTGGCCGGCACCGATGAGGCCGAGGAGGACGATGTGGAGGACGACATAGCAAATACAACAGTAACCAAAACGCGAACCGAGCTTGCGCTAATGCTTTATAGTGGCGAGAACAAGCAGGAGACACAGGAGTTGCAGGTAATACTCAATCAGACGCTGCCCGTTTTTGAGGAGCACAAGCGCAAGTGGCGGGACGCAGGCCTAGATCGCATTCTGGACACATTCGATGAACAGAAAATTGAGGTGCATGTGGGCGATTGGCTGCGTCGCAACAACAGCGTTTACGGTGGCAAACTAACACCCGAGAAATCGGCCACAAAGCGCTCAACTTCCTCGGATGAGACGGACAGCGGCAGCATCAGCAGCGCTGAATACGAAACCGTGGACACGGCGCGCTATGTGCGCAAACGCATTTCAAAGCCCAGGCTGCCCATACCGATGAAAATTGACCGCACCCACATGCGCAAGCGACAAGAACTGCGCGCCGAATTCAGCGCCACTGACTATGATGAGGTGCGCCGATATCGAAAGCATGAGAGAGACACACCACTGCGCATACCCAAACCAACTTACCGCCAAAGCCAGCAACATCGCAGCCGTTGCAGCCACCAGCACTATAAGCATTATTCTCGCAAGCCACGGGCTAGTGCCCTGTGCTCAGACTCCTCATCCAGCGATATGGAGGTGGACTACTGCGGACCCCATTGCGAGTGTACCGCCTCCAAACGCCACGATAGGGTGAAGACTATGTACCATTGCTGCACCTATCACAGCCACCATCGGTCCAGTGGCTGCGGCAGATCAATGCGACTAATTGAACGCAATGTGCGTCATCTGCGCCGCCAGCATGCTCTCGACGAGGACCTGCACATGGATATGCGGCCGCGGGTGCGGGAGAGCGACTGCAGCTGCTGTAACAGAAAGAAGTTGTGCTCGAATGTGGTGCATGTCGCCAACAGTTCCACGGAAGAGTGGATTGTGGAGAACGGCAGCAGCAGTAGCAGTCCGTATGTGGAAGCGAATCTTATGAGAGTGCAAACTCTATCTATGAAAACTGCCTCAGCTGAATTGACTTCAGCAAAGGCTAGAGAGGCGCTTTCACAGGCTGAAAGGAAGCTGCTTCCAACACCCAAAGCGCACAGAAAGGTGCTAGGCGTGTTCTCTAAAACTGATCCAGCTATACTGCCTTTTATTTCAGAGGAACCAGTTAATACAAAGAAAACAAAGAGAGCAACCGTTGAAGCAGAGAAAAAGAAAGCAAAGCCAACAAATACAAATGAATCGATTGTTGCCCACGAAGGACAAGAAATTGTCAATGCAACGCCAAAATCTCTTCAAAAGCGAAAGCCAGGCTGGCAGCTGAAGTGTGTGAAGGAACCAGAAAAAGACACCCCACTTAAATCGATTAGTTACGTGGAGAAAGAGAATTCCTCAAATATAGCAAAGGCGGGGGCGAACGAGGAAAGAATTGTGAAAGCCAAGACCACAAGTTTGGCAGTCAATCGAAAAACCTCTCAAGCGCTAACGGAGCTGCCAAGAAACAGAGACCAGGAGCCTCTGTCGCCGCCAAAAGTAACTGAAACGCCGACTAAAACTAATATTCAAAATAGAAAATCAGGCAAAAAAACGAACAGCAATATGAAATCAACAGCAGATAAAAAACTAAAGCCAATTAAAACTGCGCCATTAAAGCGAAATGTGAATAACTCTGCCAAGAAGAAAAATCTTACTACAAGCATTGACGATTCGACAGAAAGCGATGAAGTCGTTGTCGTCAGCGACGATAACGATTCCAGTTGGTTGCCATCGAGACAAAGGACAAAGAAGACGCCCCAAGCGGTATTGGTTGAGGAAGACATAAAGCTAGCCCTATTGCTCTCGAAGGAAACATATATGTCGGAGTGTACGAAGCGCCAACAAAAAGAGGAAACGGCAAGCTCGCCACAACTGCCGGAGCCCACAACCTTTAACAATCAGAGCGTGGCTTGCAACTCCACAGCTCTGGTAAATAACACCGCCTGCGATCGCGCTTTGGGCAGTAAGCGTAACATGAAACGCTCCACCGATGTCAGTTCTACGCTGAAGAAATCATCACCGCCCTCCACAGCCTCATCGAAGAAGCAAAAGCAAGTCACTGAGGAGGCCGACTGCACGGTGGTTACATCGACGACGTGTTGCGAGTCCTCAGGTGTGGTGCAGCCAACTGCTAAACACTCGCTTCAACTAACCGCCAATGGCATTTTGCTGTATGCCCCGCCTGAACGGGGTCCAGCGTCCAGCTCCTCCAAATTTGAGCTCACAGAGCAATCGCTTGGCGGCATCATTGGGGAGCGTACAGCGCGCAAGTTCCTCAAATATCATGTGGGCAGTCGCAGCTTTGATAGCCGCCTCAGCGTCTACTATCGTCCCTCGCCAAAGCTGAGGGCTGCTCTGACCGCGGGCGTCGATTCCCTCGATTTATGCAGTTCCAGCTCCAGCGACAGCGACGATGACATTTTCGAATATGCCCAGCGGTATGGAAATATACACACGGTCCTAGAGCAAGCATCTAAATAACACTATCCATTCAGTGGTGATCTAAAATAATTACAAATCAAATATATTTGCAACTTGTTAACTGTAACTGTAATATTATTGCATTAAAAGTTTTTAATTTACAACTAATTAAGATATATTTCGCGATTTCCCCTCAAATTTGTGTTATGTTACAAGTAGGTTTTGAAAATAAATCCAAAAGGAGATTTTTTTGCAGTAGAAAACTATATTATAAATATACCCTGTGCCCGACACAATATTGATGTAAAAAAGTATTCTATTAAAACTGTACGATTCTAGGCACGACTACGTACGTGTTATATATTTTTATACCCTGTTTAAGAGTTAAGCCTGATCGACTTTAGTAATTCATTCTTGTTTTTATGGGCTTTCATTAAAATAACATTAAATTTATGTTTGAGAAATTTGTATGCAAATTATTTGCACATCGCTGTAATTTTATCGAGTATCGATTTTGAATGCTGCCTTTTTAAAAATGGAGGTAAAGTTGTCGTTAAAAGCTGAGTTTATTACGATAACTAACAGGACCAAAGTCGCTCTATGAAATTCTATACTTCAATAGGAAGCACCCTATATAAAACAGGACTAGAGTCGCTCTACACTCTCTTAATTTGTTGTTCTCTTGCCATTTAGCGGAACTGCAGAAGGCGTGACAAAGCAGGGAATAGGATGATTGCCTGCAATGAGCGAAAGGCCTCACTGCTGATGCGTGCAAAAAAAAGCTGAAGCTAACTAAACACGGAAAAATGCTGAAAACAGCTGCTTAATAAGTTTTCTTAGAAGTAATCAACTAATCAAGGTTTTCATTGAGAAATAAAACAAAAATCTTGAACTACGTAAATTTTTCACGAATTACAATTAATTTTTTGGTAAAAATGACCAATAATATTATATATAACATAGTTATGTTGCTTGCAATTTGAGCGATATGCCTCACTGTTGATGCTTGAGTGCAAAAAAAAAGCTGAAACTAACTAAACAGGCAAAAATGCTGAAAACAGCTGCTTGATAAGTTTTCTTACAGATAAAATACAAATCTTGAACTACGCAAACTATAAGAGTTGTATCGTCCAATAGCTGTCAATTTTTCAGGAATTACAATTTTTTTTCCACGACCAATAATATACATATATTACATAGTAATGTATTACAAAATAAAATTTTGAATTAATAGCTGCTGAACAAATAAGTTTACGGGCTGATTTATAACAATCGCTGGTATGTCAGTTAATTACAAAAAAAAGAAGTAATTATCACGATGTTAAAGCGAATTGAACAGAAAAAACCACAGTCACATTTTAGACCGCAATCGGCATTTGAAAAGTCAGAAAGTGACGGAAAAATAGTTAAATTGGCAGCACTGTTGCTCATACCCGTGCACAAATGTGGGTTTACATTTTCCTTCTCTTTGACTGTTTCTGTGCGTGTGCTGTCTCTCTTCCTTTTTGTGCCTGGCTGCAGATTTTAACTCTCATTCGGTTCCTGCTCGTGGCGGCGAGAAGTACGTTTGTGCGGCGCGCGGAGAAATTGAAAATTTCGTGGTAATATGTTTGCCATATTACGTCGCCCACGCGCTTGTTACTTTGGGCAGCAAATGCAAACAAATTAAAGTGCGCGCAGCTCGTTCTGGCCAAAAACAGCGCCACCGCCGCCGCCAAGCTGTCTGCAAAGTGTGAGATTTGTTTGTCTAGTGTTTATGTGTGTGTGTATGTGCGTTGTGAGTCCCTGTTGTTGTTTTAATCAGCGATTTTCAAGTGCAATATTTAGGCTTTAACAACCATTGAGCAAAATTAAAGCCGGCTAACGGTAAATACATGCATATATGTGTGTGTGTGTGAGAGTGATTTTTTGTGTCGCGTCATTGTCTCTCTCGTTTCGTATTTCGCGTTTCGCGCGCATTTTATTTGTCGTTTGTGTGCTGCAATTTTTACCGTTACACATGTGCCGCCCACCATCAAACAGCAGCATCAGCAGCGGGGGCGCCCAAAATGATTTACAACGGGGCTTGATGTTATCAACGCTTGCCGCAATTATGTTTTAATTGGCGCACAAAAACGCGCTAAATGGTTTACACACGCAGGATTTAGTAGCAGAAACAATAACAACAAAAGGGATATTGTATGTACGTGTATGTGTGTGTGTGTACATAACACATGTGGCCTGGTGAGTTCATTATTGTGCGCTCATTTGTTGTGTTTTTGTTTTTCACACTCATGCGGTTAATTTATGTCAAATAGGAAAGTCTAGCCTGAATCTGCCGCTTTGCGCGCTCCCTCTCTTTGTTATTTGCCTGTTTTTGTCATTTTCTCACAAAACACTAAAAGTAAATTGAATTCTGGTGCCAGCTTTTGTGCCACTCACGTGTCACAAAAAGAAAGGAAGGCAGGCACAAAAAAGATGAAGTAATCTCTGTGCCGCCGCCTGACTATAAAAATATTTACGAGTAAATATTACAACCTGCCCACGCACGATCCACCGCCAGGTTCAAACATATGTTTGGCAACATTCTTTCGGGGGCCCGCTTTTATTTATGATGGGCGGCTGATGCTGCGTCACAAAAATTTGCGCATGAATCATGCCACACGTAATATGAGAAGCGTCTCGCTCTTTCTGTGTGTCAGTCAGGCACGCGGGAGTTGGGTGTGGATGTGGACGTGGACGTGGGATTTTGGGTTGGAGTCGACGGGTGCTTCGTCCTGATGCGTTTGGCATAATAATGAAATAATAATGTCGCCTTTTGTTGTGAGGTGTTTCTGTCTGACGCTCTTGGGGCGGCAATAAATTAATGGCCTGCACATAAAAAGCACCCTGCAGTTTTTTGATTATGTGCCGCACAGGCCTCATATGACTTGGCGCTACCAGTTGGGCCAAGAGGCTGAGTGGTTGCATAGATAATTTGGGCTGAAGGGGTGGGTGTTAAAAGCAAAACTGGTGGGTGGTAAATTGGCATTGAAGTAGCGTCTCAACTCTTAACACTTACAAGCAGGAATAGGCGCGGGAAATGAGTGAACATTTCAAGCAACTCTCATTGCTGCGCTTCAATTAAGTCAATTGAGGACAAAAATGCTCCTTTGGATCCCTTTTGGCTTTAGAATTAGCCGCGGCACAACTATTGGATTATTTAATAAATATTAGTAAGAACATTTTCAATAATAATAAAATTAAGATGCCGTAAAAGTCTATTAAAAATAATTAGCAAATATTGAGGTAAGGCTGAGCAAAGCTACTATAGAATTTTTTCAATGGACCGCAAATAATGATTATTTTGATTTTTAACAGCGAAAAAATCATTCACTTATAGTAGCTTTGAAAAAAACATACTGATACTTATACTAATATCCTGCTTTTAGGATTATCTATGCATATTCACCATTAATTTCAAAATGTTAATTTTCATTCGTTCTCTCACAATATAATGATTAATTTATGTTTTGTGTTATACTTTGCAACTCAACCAATAATCATAATTTTTGAGCAAACAAATATTCTGTAAGTTAAATTTTTTTATCCAAAAATAAAACTTCTGTTGTTATTGTCCTTGCCTTTTGCACAAGGAAATAGGACAAAATGTATATACATACATATCCTTAAATAACAAGCCAAGACAAACCCCTATAGTACAGTTTTTGGCTTAACAAAAATTTCAGGCAAAATTACATCTTGAGTTTTATATTTGATCAAAAAAATTAAACTTAAAGGGTAATCACTATTTTATTAGTTTCATTTTTTTGTTCAATAATACATAATAATTGTTTGTTGATTTGGAAAGTATATCTCAAAATTAATTATAATGTCGTAAGAGAATGAACAAAATTAAAAAATTATTATTTTTTTTTGTAATTTTTATAACAACACTTACAATGATTCACAGTCCCTGATGTTTTCTAATCTCGAATGATGCCATATTATTCCAAATGCTGTACTGTCTTGTAATAAGTAGTATCTTAATAACGAACATATTATTGTTTTAGTAATTGTTTGGTTTTGGAACCGATTATGGGAATTGGAACAAATAATTTAGATCTTAAGAATAATAGTAAATTAATTAAAAATAATTAATTGAATTCCTGTACATAGTGAGGAAAAAGGAGGCGTGGCAGAATGGTTCATTCATATATTGGTAGTATGACGAGATGAGTCGATATAGACGTCAGTCATTGGAGTTCTAATTACACCGCTAGGAAGATATCATGTCTTCCTCTTATTTACGTAATTGAGGGCTTACATTTTTATATCAACAATTTATTTAAGTACGATAATCTTTAAATGCGATAATTGTTAATAAAATAGTAACTTCTTGGCGTTCCAAATGAGCTTGTTTAAAATTTCAAATACTATTAAACACAAAATGAATCACATTCAGCTCAAATTTTATAACGTATTTTTCCCCATCAGTGTGCCTACACTATTCGTTACATCGAAATCCCACCAGGCACTTCATTATTTAACTTTTATTTGACCGTCTACTTTGCGGCTGACCTGCTGACCAACTCACGCCCCAAATTTGAACCCACACAGCCCTCTTTTTGTCTAACTTTATTAGTGCCGTGTCAGGATGATGATGAATATGTTATTGGAGTGACCGAAACAACTTGACCAACACAACTTGTCCCAACAAAATGCATTATAATGATTTATGAACCAGAAGCAACAGCAGCAACAACCACCCCCCTGACCCGCGTCGTCTGCCCAGACAAATTAACAAGGATATATGGCTAGAACAAATTCGTAATAAGCAGCTTACCCCAAAAACAAAAAAGGCTGTCAAACGCAGACACACAGACAGACAGAGAGGGAGAGAGAGAGAGAGAGAGAGAGAGAGAGAGAGCTGCTCGCATCACGACCCAGGCAGTGGGTGGGTGCGGCAACTGCCCCAAGGTGTTTTGCCAAGTTTAAACAAAAATTAAAACACCTACCCCCAAACAAACTTCTACGGATGGGCTAATCAAAAATGTTACAAGCAAACAAGCTACGAACCAAAAAAAAAATCAAATAACATGGAAATGGAAAGTTGTGCGAGCAGAAGAAAGCGAAGAAAGTTTACAAGAAGTTTGCCACTTGATTCTTGTGGCAGCCACCACCAAAAAGGGGGCAAGAGTGGTTGCCTG